GTATCGTGAGGTCTTTCATAGGAGGAGAGTGGGGGCTGTATTTGTATATCATATATATTAGTATTGAGGCAGAGCAACTCCTGTCAAGGCCTTGTATTCTCCTGTGGAAAAAAAATCCATCTATGTAAAAACCATTACAAATGATCAAAAACATATGCAGGGCCAGTAGGTGGCGATGGAGTCTACATCAAAGGTCCGACAAATACCTGCATGCCTTGTAAATGCCACTAATGTGATGTGGTGATGGTGAATTTAGATGCAGACTGTTAAATGAGACATAGCAGTGCAGACCATATATGGAGGAAAAAAATGGTATATAGCCGAAACTGTTGCATTTGTCTCTGGAGCATCCTCATTACACGAAGGGGCATGTATGAAGTCAGCTTTGATGTCATCATTTATGCAAATGCTCCATTTTACATGCACAGGTGGATACAAAGAGCTCTCAGTTTTTTTCTAATCTTCACTTTGGAAGCCATGAAAAAATAAAGTGGACGATCAAACCAAACGCAGAGGAAAAGTCTGTTTTGCAAAATATTTGCATAAGTGTGGACATAAGATATCCATAATCGGATTGAACCCAAGAGAAACAGTGTTCAGTGTTCTCACTGGTTAACTGCCTTGAAAATAAAGCTACTCTAGGAGAACCGGTTGCATGCATGCCGGATGCATGTTAGCTGTACCATCCTCTTGCATGAATGCATGATTACTAGACCTTACAGTTAGCGACTTGTTTTTTCCTCCCTGTGTGTCAAAGGTCAAACAAGCTTTCACAGGCAGATTGTTCCTATTTGCTTCAATTAGTTCAATAAGAATCAAAGCCTTTAACGAGTGCTGTCTTTCAAGAGGAGGCCACTGATTTGGCTCCCTGTCAAGCCTATAGATTATATAACAGTGCTGGGACTCTTCACTGTGGCTTGTAGAAAACTTGGCCCGCTGCGGCGCTAACAAAAGCGCTAGCTTGTGTCTAATGAAGCGTGGTGGTATTATTCAGAAAAAGAAAACATGTTTGTCACCAGACACAGCCTGTTTCTGCTGCCTTTGATACATCTCCACAGTGACAGCTTGATTGTAATATTATTGATAATCTCTAATATACGTGTCTGTAGACAAGAGTTTTTTACCACATATTGTTTGTTACAACTCGCATTTATAAGTTGGTACCTTCTCAAAATGACTGTAAAAAGGTGAGCGGTGCCAAATAAACACATTTCTCCTCAATGCACATTAAGAATTCCCTTTTAATGAACAACACTGCTTTAATCCAAACAGCCTCATCTGCAGGAGAGTTCTCTAATCAAACAGAACTCACACAGTATCAACAAACATTTAATCGACTCGACTGTAACTTAAACACATGCAAATGTCAAGAATTAAGGCGAGCTTTTAATTAGTAGAGAAAAGGGGGCTCCTCTGATGTGTGTGTGGGATGCCCGGAGGAACTAAAGAAACGGGATCCGGGAGAAGAACTCCGCTCCGCACTGAGGAACTCTTTTACAACGATTTATGTAGCTCATTAATATTCAAGTTTGTATAGTGTGCAGATTTAAAATTCAGTGTAAAATCAGCAAGCCCGGTGGCCGTATTTATCATTGTAAATAAAACTGTAATACATGCATAATTCTCGCATTATGCATATATATACATACGCAGGCTGTATTTCATTGTATGGTGAGTGCAAGGTGCTTGTATTTGCTGTCTCTTGCATGTTTTGTTTGTTTTCCTTTATTGGAAAGTATTAATTTAAAAAAAAAAAATGGTAAAGGATTTTTTGTGAAATTAAATTAACTTTGGTTAACTTGTTGTTTCTCAATAGTGTTTGATAGTGTTTTTAGCGATGCACCTACTCTCGGGTTAATGGATGACCCATACTACCTCCTGAGCCCTAAGTGATGGCAAAACATCTTCCTACTTTAGCGGAGTTGTCTGTCTTTACATCTCAACTGGTATCATGCTATCACAGGATGGATCATGTTGCTCCAACCCAGTTACTGTGATATACTTACAGCACCTCTACATGTTAAACTTGAAGAAGTTACCATCTCCTACACTGACTCAACCCAAAGAGAGCAGCTGAAGTACCAGAGGTTTTGAATTAATTATTGATTCATGCACATATAAAAATAAAAGATTTCCCACATGTTACTGCACAAATGGGTGGTACAGTGTGTGTGTGAGAGAGAGGCTGGAATATTGTGCGCTAGTGTGGAGGACAAATCTAGGTCAACATATTTTATTTACATCATTATATTCAACATCTGACTGTAAGCTGGAGTAGTGGCACTTCAGAGTCACGCTGACACAGATAAGGAAGAAAGCAAGTCATTTCAACAAAATCTCTTCTCTTCTTAAGGAAAACCATAACTGAATAATGTAGAGTATGTGCATTTTTCTTTTTTCAAATGTTTTCACGTTACTCTGGGCCTCCTGTTATCTCAAAACCACCTTCACTTTCCTCTTGACCTTGGTGTTGTTTGATGGGGAGAATCATTGTGTTGGCCTAAGGGAGCATGAAGGATCCTGAAAACAAATATTAACACAGGACTCATATTAACGCATGAAAACTCCAGGGAACGTCCTTCCAGGGCAAAGTCACTTACATGGTCATTGAATGCATCATTTAGTTTTGGCTACACAACATTACTATACAATACATGTGCAGTTTTTGTGAGTCATTGTGCATGTGCAGCAAGGGTCATTTACTGTTACACTGAAAACTAATGAATTTATAAAATGTTATTATGTCAACAAGGGAAATTTACAAGGGGTAAGAATCTCTTTTAGTGTGTGTATGTTTAAATGCTAATGTTCAAATGAGACTCAGGGCAGATCCTATTATTTGAAATTATTATTTTTCTCTCTAAGTGAAAATTCAATTGATGATTCATTGTTTGATTGTTAAAAACACTATTTATTTTGAATATCCTGTTTGCACAACAGTCAGATTCTGGAAGATCAAAATATTCTCAATAGGCTTCATAGAGTTGTGATGTTTTTGTTTTATTTGTGTATTTATGTGCCCACTTACTTAACAAAATACAAGTTATTTTAACATAGAGGTCACAATAACCTCAAAAGAAATTCCATATATAACAAGTATAGTTAATTTACCACAGGGAGAGTCTCTGATGAGCAGATAATAACATGTTTACAGTGTCATCCTGTCGTATCAAACTGTCTTTAGCTCTTTCTGGAAGCTTATCACAGATGGAGAAAATAAAAGCAACATGTGCCTGTGTTTGTTAATGTGCAAACCCTTGAGTACTTGATCCAGATAAAAGAAAATGTGGAATTTGATTTGCCTCGTTCTCAACACAGAGGCAAGCTTCATGGTTTATGGTTTTCAGGGCTGTTACTCATCTTCTAAACCTGATTCCACAGAGGGCTTCATACAAATAGACTGCTAAACCAGGCCTTTGTTGAAGTTAATCCTCAGATCCCACCTGTAACACAGTGACAACAGTCTCAGCTGTTTTCAGAACTAAAAGGACAAAGGACAAAACAAGGCAGAGAATGAAAATAAAATTATACAAACAAATACAATTTTACCAAAAATGCTGTGTGTGTGTGTGGTTGTGTGTGGTTGTGTGTGTGTGTGTGTGTGTGTGTGTGTGTGTGTGTACTTGTACTTATATATCTGTGAGGACCATTTTGAGCACAGACCTTATCCTTTGAAAGTCGTAGGGGGAGTTGGAGCTGATCCCAGCAAACACTGGACAAGAGGCAGGCTGCAACCTGGTCACCAGCGTATCACAGTGCTGATCGAGACAAACAAGTATTCATGCTCACATTTATACCTAATGTCCATTGATCCAACCCCAATCTGCATGTCTCTGTACTGTGTGAAGAAGCCAGGGTATCGAGAGGAAACTCACCCAGACACTGGAAGAACGTACAAACTCCACACAACAAACTAAGAATCTTCATGCTGTGAGGCGACAGTGTGAACTGTGCTGCCCCAGGTCTGTGTTATTTAACACAAAAGAAAAGAGACGGACTTGTGATTCAACCACAGCATGTCACATTTCCCTGTAAGAGAAGAGAGGTGGCTTAGCATGTAGACACAACCCCCCCCGCTGAAAGGATCAGTGGACCCCAGTCGTTGTGAAAACCCCTGCAGAATCGCTCTGTAGACCTCCAGGCCACTCTTTTCAAAACTTACAATTTCATGTTTAGCCTCCATAAATGACGTATAGAGTCTAATTTTACAAATGTAAGTTGAACTTTACAAAGCAATCAAATATTCTTTGTAAGAATTTTAATATTTAATAAACATAGTAAGCCAAGCAATTTTATATTAAAGGTACAGTGTGTAGAATGTTGTGATATCTGGTGTTGAAAATGCATGTTGCCGCTGAACAGCCCTCACCTCACCCTCTCCATCCAAACATGAAAAAGAAACTGTGGTAGCTTCAGTTGTCATAAAAACTCAAAAGGTGTTTAGTTTGTCCAGTCTGGACTCATGTAAAAAACATGGCAGCCTCCGTAGAGAGGGTCCCCTCCATGTAAATATACAGTATTTAAATATTAAATCAATGTGCTGTAAATGAAGTATGGTACAAATTCAAAATACCATGATATGGAAATACTTATAATAAAATCACACTTGATTTAATTAACTTCATGTAGCTATATCTGAGAAAAGTTCTTTTACAAAGTTAGGTCACAGTTCTATCAAGTCCAGACATCAGTGATTTTGTGAATATTGTGCTTGTCCAGATTGTTTCCAAAGCTCTGATATGACTCAGATGCTGAGTCTGACTGAGCCAGCGTGCGGTCGCTCTCTGTGCCACTGTTTGCTCAACAAGCAAACCCCAGGACTCCTCCTCTCCCTCCCCCCCCCTGAGCAGGCTGTTTAATTCCTGTGAGGTGATGCCTGCTTAGTAACGTAATAAAGTTGCTGGATGCGGTCCCGAGGCACAATGTGTGGATCAGGTTCGTCTGACAGACCTGCACTCTGCTGCGCTCCTGCGCTCCCACAGCCTGCTGCTCTCGTGTAAGTACTGCAGGTCAGCTTGTAGGTGTGATGAGGGTCTCCCCTCTGTGTGGGTGAATACCTCACCCAGGACTAATGAATGAACACACATCACACACAGCGGGGACAGGCAGAGGGAGAGCGAGGTATTGCTTTCGGTGAGTTTGAGCCCTTTAAACTGAAGGGAAAGAGACGAGGGAAGTATCCCTGCAACTCTGCTGCTCTGGAGGTTTGCTTAACACTGTGCATGTAATATTCAATTTAGATTGTTTAACATGTTTCTAAATGTGCAGCGACTTGCACATGTTTTAATTAAAGTAAATCGAAATGTTCTTTTTTTCCTGGTTGAGGTACAATGAGTGACAGTAAATTGAACCTTTGGACGCTTTGACTTTGTGATATTTGGCCCTGTGCACAATGTTTGAAGAATGCTCTGTGTGGCAGTCTCTAATGGAAAGTCACCAGCTTTGATCCTGGTGGAGTTCTGAACGTTGTGCCCAGAGGCAGCCGTGCTGATAGGGCTCAGTACCCTTTTTTCAGCCATATGCAGGCACCAGGAATATATAAGTAGGCTAATCATTATTCTTTTTGCCAGGAGGTTCCTGTCCTGGTGTAGGTGTCAGAGCACGATGGTGGCATTTAAAGGGATCTGGACCAAGGACTTCTGGAGGGCTGTATCCGGAGAGTACCTGGCCACGCTGATCTTTGTCCTCCTCGGTCTGGGCTCCACCATCAACTGGGCCGCGGGGGAGGAGAAGCCTCCCCCGGCCGACCTGGTGCTTATCTCGCTGTGCTTCGGCCTCAGCATCGCCACCATGGTGCAGTGCTTCGGTCACATCAGCGGCGGACACATCAACCCGGCCGTCACCGCAGCCATGGTTGTGACGAGGAAGCTGAGCCTGGCCAAGGCTGTGTTCTATGTGGTGGCTCAGTGTCTGGGAGCCGTGACAGGAGCGGGGATCCTCTACCTTGTCACACCTGCTGCGTTCAGAGGGTCGCTCGGCGTGACCACGGTAAGAGTTCGATCCCATTCGTTAGCAGTTGTGCGTTATGAGGCGTTTCCCTATAAGGTATCTTCTGTTTCCAAGGTGAACTCCAACATCTCATTAGGACACGGCCTCCTGGTGGAGCTCATTATCACGTTCGAGCTGGTTTTCACCGTCTTCGCCACCTGTGATCAGAAACGCACAGACCTCGGAGGCTCCGGCGGCCTGGCCATCGGCCTTTCTGTGGCGATTGGCCACTTGTTTGCAGTAAGACACTTTCCATTAACTCAGATAAGAGATGACAGCTGCGAGTTTATTTTATAACAGCAATTCCATGATTAGTTTTGGCCTGTTGCTTGTTTTTTTTGCTCTCCAAAATTCTCAGGAAACCAGAATCAGAAACAATGATGTATATACAGTCAATTTAAATTCAAATTGCTATACGATGTCAAATTATAATATCACCAACCTTAATAGTCTTCTGCAACCTCATCTTGACTCCTCCTGTGCTCCCTGCAACACAAGCAGAGAATCACTTTAACGTGGAGGTTGTTCAGAAGAAATCATATTAAATTCAAAACACCACATGAAAGAGTTGTAGAACAAGATTAGTTCCGGAGCAGCAGCAGCGATGCTTCTTGGAAAAACAGCAGGTGCTCAGAAGCATCTATTTTTCTATGTGTGATATTGTTCACTTCTTAGTGATTCACACCCACATGCACTTCTTTATCAGAGGCTGCCATCGCATGGCAACCAATCTCTGGGGGCTCCCTGAACCCTGCAGAATAAATGAACGCACTGGGAAATAGATGTTATCATTTTGCACGGCTCAACTGATTTCTCCCTGGCCTTGTTAAACAAATACATATATATATATATATATATATATATATCCATACTGTATATTTTGTCTTGTATTAGATATATTCATCAGGATAAGGCAGAAAACTGGAAACTGTGGTGTTTCATCATTTCATGCTTCTGTGTGTCCTCTAGATTCCTTTCACAGGAGCCAGCATGAACCCTGCTCGTTCTTTTGGGCCTGCGATGGTCACCCTTAACTTCGAGAACCACTGGGTAAGAGATACTGTCTGAAGAGGATAATCTTTCTCTCAGGAGCTTACATGGCCAGAATAAAACCCAGACCGCAGTTAGCAAACATGTCCCACTTCTGCATCAACGATAATGTTTAATGTAATAAATCAGCTTCCTGTTTCAAGTGTTGCGTCACAAAATGCTGATGATCTTATTTTACGGTCCAGAAGATGGCAAGCTCATACAACAGTAGGCCGGGGGGGGCATGTCGAAACCTAGTAAGGTCAAAATTTCAGCTCCATTGCCAGAACAGTAAAAACAGGTGTGAGCTATAGACAAACCTAGCAGGGCCGACTTTCACTCATGCAGTCAGTGAGAAATGAAAACCCACCAAAGGTGAGTGGGTTTGAACGCTCCCCATAAAATCCTCACCCGTGACCCTTGACCTATATAGGTCTTCATCCAACAGAAAAGAAGCCAAACAATCAGACAATCACAGCTTTTCACCTCCAACTCCATAATTGGATGTTTCTGAACAAGGTGCAAAATAACATTAGCTCTGAATTTATGTATCTAGGCAATTATTTCCACAACCATTTGCAGACAGCACAGCATCATGTTGTGTACGTGTGTCTACTTGTGTTGTGAGTGTGGGGTATTCTTAGTAACTGTCACTGTGGGTGTTAAGAGCATCTTCTCTTGGTTGCAATTACTTGATACCGCAGACGCTGAGCTACCTGTCTCTGATGAGGACTGACCCTCTCTTGCTTACATGTAACCGAGCAGAGAAGGACAGTTTGATCATCTTAATAAGTAATGTCAGTGCCACATCGTGTTGACAGAAGTAAATCTAGACTGGCACATACCTACGCAAGGACCGTCCTCTTTAGAAACCACATTTAGATCAAATCTGGATTTTTCATCAAGATCCATGAATTATAGAAATCAACGGAAATATCGTGCAAAACGTTCTATCTGACCTGTATCACATTTGTCCAGCAATTTTCGTGGTAATCTGAGCAGTAGTTTTTCCGTAATCTTGCTTACAAACAAACAAATGCTGTTGGTATAGTCAGAACCAAAATCCAAAATCTACAGAACAAACTCACCCAGAGTAAATCACCTATATGCACAAATACAATGAGAGTTGCGCAACTATTGTAACTCTAGTTATGTGACCAAAGGTTAAGACAAAAATGTCCCCTGGAGCTCAGATTAGCCAACTGTGTAAATCAGATTTCTGTCTTGCTGTTTGTGGCAGGTGTACTGGGTGGGGCCTATCCTGGGCGGCATACTGGCTGCCGGCCTGTACGAGTACCTGTACTGCCCTGACGCTGAGCTTAAGAAGAGGCTCAAATACATCTTCCAGAAGGACCCATCGGGGAAATACAGGGAGGTGGAGGCTGAGGACCTTTCCATCAAGCCGGGCTCCATCCACGCCATCGACCTGGAGAAAGCGGAGAAGAAAGATCCTTTCCAGGACTCGCCGGGGGAGGTGCTGTCCTCTGTATGACTATCACGTGCACTGGAAATGGAGACCAATCTATAGACCAGATTGACAATCAAACTTTGGAATATCCACCTGACCACCCCCCCTCAAAAGACTTTGTCCTAATCACAGCAGAATATGATTTGTATCATGAGGCATCGCAGCAGGGCAGAATCACTCTCATCGTCATAAAGCTAATATGATGTTACGGCTCAATCCCGCAAACACCTACACTTACAGCCTGTTCGATACTCCTCCTGAGGGCCCTGTGTGATGATGTGGCAGCATGCGGTGCACATTGCACACATACAGCCCCCGCAATACATTTTGTTAGAGGGACCTTTACTGGGCCAACCAATTAGGTAGGGGTCATCTTGCTGCACTAGAGAAGTGAAGAAGAAAATGCAGCCTTGTTATTTTTGGATTAGTGTCACATTCGGTCCGTGTACTGTATATGTAATACCAGGTGAGATTTTCCATGTGATCATTAAGCACATTACAGGTCCCGGGTAAAACATGAGCCATCTGTGACAGCATTATTATTAGAGTTATATTATAGTGCTCTCCATTTTCAGTGCATTAGTCAGGGAAGAAACCAACGCATCTTTATGGAGGCATTCTGTGGTGGTTTATTTCTGCTTTTTGACGTTCTTGTTGTCACTATGATTTCTGTTTTGTTTTTATAAAATGTGATGAGCAGTTTTTTGGGATCCAAATTTGCTTCTTCTCATACATTTCTTTGCTGTTATTCAAGCGTTTAATTTATTGATAACACATTTGGCTGATTTCCTTAACTTTGTGCTCAAACGCAGTATTTCTAAGTCATGCTCGCAAACTGGATGTGCTACAAGATGTAAAAGAAGATTTTAAAAAAAGTCTAAATCAGGAATAACTTCTCTTTAGCTTTTTAACATTTCTTAAGTGAAACGCCTCACAGATCCACTGCAGCCTCCACATGTTTATGAGAAGTCCAGTGACTACACCTACAAGGTTTTTCAATTGAGTCACAGTTTCTGTTCAGGCAGCTGAGCACTGGGGAGACGAGCGGTCCGGATCGATGATAGATTGGCTCATCTACTCAGATGATGTCTCCCTGCGGCCAGATAAATGTCCATATTGTGTGTTCCTCGTGAGTTAAGTCTCGAGGAATGGCTTCGTATAATCTCATGCCATCAGGCACCGACCACAGAAACTGATGCCACTTTGTGATACGACACAGATCTTGTTGTGTCTCCACTTTTTAAGAACGGGTGTGATTCCATTTATTTTCTCTAGGATGCAGACGAAATGATGAGACCCTCTCATCATGCTGCATCAAGTTTTATACACAGGTGTATTTCGTTTAAAAGGCTAGAATGCCACTGTGCAAGATGATTTTCCTCCTACATTTCCCATCTCACCCTTTTTCAAAACATGGTGCATATTCATTTTTTTGTGTCACAACAGCATCCCTTACTGGCCGCAGTGTGAATCGCACACTATGTAATACTGCTCCCATCTGCATTTCTCCAGGGGAGGGCAGCCACGAGCCTTGGATGTGCAGGTTCCTCTGCAGACACAAAGTCAGTTTTATTTATTCAAGTCTGAGACACATTTCATTTGAAACTGGTCCAAGCCATTAATTCAGAACTGCACTGGAGGATTAAGTGTTACGCAGCCCTGCAACAGGGACCCAGTGCTTAAGTGGGAGCAAAGCAACTGAAATAGTTCTTTTTTTTTTAAATTTTTGTCAAACTTTGTATTCTTAGCATTTTTACAGTATTAATTACTGTTTGTCGCTTGAGCTGCCTAAATTAAGTTGTATCCTTCATACTTTCTTATTAAAGATGAAACTCTTGTGCACTTGTGAGATTGTTGTGCTGTTCTTCAAGGCCTTGCTGGAGTTGGAGACGAACAGCATTGAATCTCTTGGCGGCTCCGATCCTTTACCTGCAGGCCCGCTGCCCGAGTCCCTTAAGGCTCCAGTGGCTCGAGGCCAGCGCCGTCTCAGCTCCCCCTTAATCATCTTTATAACCCAAATAAATGATTACATAAGTCTGGTGTTTCATGCATTGACTGTTTCTTCTCAGGATAGCGGATGGGAAATGGGCTCACTCAGATTTGATTAATTGGCCCTCACTGATCTTAAGATTCAATGGAGAGACAGGTGAGGATAGCAGGCCGCATTGAATGGGAAATACTTTTTGTATGAATTTTAAAGATGGTGGTGTTAGAGGAAAATGTAAAAAAAAGAGGGCGGTTTCTTATCAAGACATGGTTGACATTCCTACTGATACATTTTCAGACGACTACATACACGAGCAGATGCTGTAAAGTGTCAATCAAACCATGAAAAACATTCTCTCTGTTGTTTCTGGTCGAGAAACTTCTAAACCACAGCTGCAGACACCTCAATTAGGAAAAAGCAAATGAGAAGTGACAGCAAATAATAGACAAACAAGTTTTTAAGCTCTTTGTCACGATACCTTTTGAACGACTGATCAGTGAGATGTCGAGCAGAGGGTTAGCCCTCACTCCTTTATTTACATGCACATACATTGCAAATACTGAGAATGGCTACGTGATAGCAACATTGTCACAACCAGAGCTTCATTTGCACATCATACAGATGCCAGCAATGTATATCTCAGAGTGCATCTCCCGCTTATCTAACGGAGAACAGACTTGATTTCTTGTAACCTGAAAATACACATTCTCGATTACCCAGCATGCAACAGAAGAGGGCAAAAAGATAAAACACACACCTTAAAGATCATTAGCAATTAATATTTGGGGATTCATGAAGAAAAACAGCGTTAAACACTTGTTTAATAATTCATACTATAAACAAGAAAGTCTCCCACTTCCTTAATAATTTAGACGTAAGCTAATGTTGATTTATTCAGGAAGGTCTCTGCCACCAGCACCGCCTGGAGTGCCCAAATTTGAATTAAAGTAGGACAGTAGCAGGCGAGTCTGTAATAACATTTGTATAATTTTATTATTGCTCTGGGCTCAGTTCATTTCCTCCTCCAGTAGCTGCGTGAAATTGTTTGATTCTGGAAACTGCCTTGAGTCTGCGGCTCTGGGGTTTGAGGGTGGTACAGGAACAGGAAGGCATGCGACACTCTCTCTCTCTGTGTCTGATGCTGTCAGACACACACACACAGAGAGAGATAAATAACTTTATTATTCTGGGTTTTGTAATACTGTTACATTGGCTCACTTAATAACTCAAGCTGTCTCGGGAATATGATTGATATTCTCACTCACCTTGTCACTTATGATAAATATTTTACTACATTTATTTGAGATAGCTAAGAAACTGAATAACTCTTTCATTACATTATCAAATCACATCAATATGAAAGTTTGTGTTTACGTCTTTTTCCTGAACAGAGATATTTTCTCTTTGATACAAAGTCACTTTCACCATTTCTGTCTTTGTAAAGACGTAAACACAAACAAAAGATCAGCTTTTGTTACTTCACATCTAATAAATATGTTCATTTAATTCAAGTATTGAAGTTTATAATCATTTTGAAGGTTTGCTAAGCCATCACGTCTTATCTTGAGATTTCTAGTGTGATGTTCCTCTACTATATTGTGATTTTGTTTACCAATGATAGGACTATCATTTCCAAAATGGTAATTTACAAAATTTTGATTACTCCACCACAAACAATATTTGGAAGGTATTAGCTCATGTAACACACACCTGAGACCCCAGTGGCTTTGACACAGGAAGGGAGGGTGGAGAAGTTCTGATTGGTTTCCTCGGGGCTCTGCTCCCAACTTCCCACCCGCACACATTCCCTCACTAACCCCCCCACCTCAATTCCTTTATGCAGAGCAGCCCAAACTGCAGTTTGATGAAACACATTTGTTTTTCTTAACTCTTGCCTCGCCATCACAGCTAAGTCTCCGAGGCCTGTCGGTGTAATGTGGCCCAAAAGCAATTGGGTTAATGAGAGGATATATGTGCAAGTGTGGGACTTGACCGGAGGAGCTGTTTTGGTCTGCTCGTGTTATTAGGGAAACCTTTATTATTGTTGCCCTCTAGTGGGAACCGTATAATAGGATTACATTTTATTAGAGCCTCACAGCATTACCCAAGCAGCCCCCTCCTCTTGTCTCTCTTCCCCTCACTGTAGTGTCACTCCTCTGTCCACTGTAGGTGGGACAAGTAAGTTTGGGGCTGAAAGGGGAACCAACCCTCATCTTTTCTCTGCAACAGAAAAAGTGACTTGTCAAAAGAACATCTTGATTTTTTTAAAAACCAAACTGAAACTGTTCGTGAGCACAATCATGCCACTTGCTCTTTTTGAAATAGGGCAAAAACACCCAGGATTCAAACTTTCCATAGTTTCTGGAAAATGACATGAACGGCAGAGCTATAGTGCACAGGCTCAGCTCACTGTTGCAAACTAGAGTTAATGTGTTATATAATTACCATTGTTAATATTAAACCTTCCAGCGTTATGCCTGTTGGTATGACCACAATATAGCAGTGGAGACAAAGCTAAAATCTCATTGTGCCAAAGACAATATTTGATGAGCAGTTCTGGCTAAAACGGTGCAACCCTGCAGGGCAGATTGAGTCAGGCTCTGGAGCAGCTTCCATCCCACTCCCTTACATAACCACAGGCCATTAGAGGGGTGTGGCCAGCATAGCAGTTATTAATATGGTCTGGGGCTAAAACAACATCAGCAGGGCCTTGGTACACCTATGTCATTCAGTGGGACGTATAGTTGTTGAGAAGGTTTATTTCTGTGTTTTTGCTGAATGAATAATGATAGAAAATGTATTTTATCTCTAAAACTGAAACTGCAATCAAAATATCTATATTTTTGAAGAGCAGCAGTCACTTTGGCCACAAAACACCATCTGATAAATGCAAATGCTTCAATAAAGTGTAACAATATCACAACTAAAACTAGAAGTACACTCAGAAGAGCACACACATTCATCATGGCCTAACAGTCCCCTTAAATTCAATCAAGCTGCACCAATTTCACACACTACATAGAAATCAGATCCATAGATATGCTTGTTTCTTACCATCAAGATCCATCAATTATTCTCAGAGTAATCAGTGAAAATATTGAAAAGCGCCATGTCTCACAATTATGAAGTACAAAATAATTCTTGGCTCCACATCAGAATTGAATGGGTTCTTCCATTAACTCATTTTTATCCTTCCGCCAAGTTTCGGGGAAATCTATCCAGTAGTTTCTACATAAACAAACTTGCATAAATTGTTATGAAGTCTAGTAACCCCCTCTTGTTTTGTGCTGTGTCTTTGTGTTTGTAACCATATGGTATTGCACTAAGTAATTAACTAAAACAAACACACACAAAAACACACACAACCCAACCGACAAACCTCCTTGTCAGAGGGGAAACGAAAAAGAAAGAGACATAAAGCCAAGTCGATTACACCAATACCTGTTTAAGTTTTTCAAACGTGAGCAACCATTAGCTTCACATGAGAAGAAATGTATTTTATGGTTTATAAATTTCACTTTTTGCTTGTAAAAGGCAGAATATGTCAGCAATCATTCCTTCTATGTTGAAGTTGTGCCAGAAAGGATTGATAACCCACCTTAACAGTACTTCTTGTTCTTTTTACGACAGTCAGACTCATAACATCCCAGCGAGTCAAACAAGTTTTCCAGAGCTCCTCTCTCATTTCTCCTGTGTATGCATTTATAACCCTATGATGTCATTCAGGTCGGGCAGCTACGGTTTGGGGCATATACACACATCTGCAACCAATCTGGATAATTTGTCCACTGAAATGTGCCGCAGTCCGCCAGTGTTCGTCTGCTGCCGCTGCTGCTGCTGTAGCAGTCTCCAAGTAAAATACAGCAGCATTAGGACAATGTCTTTTTTGGCATCGAGCGCCGCACATGGATTTAAAAAAATCTCCACTGTTTAGACTCAAATAGCATCTGATACATGTTTAAAATAGTTAAGTGAGAAGACCACTGTATAGGAATGAGTGAAATATGGACAAATGGGATTTTAGGGCCTGAAGTGTCTTAGCTTTAGTCAGATTGATAGCACAAAAATATGTGCACCAGTGTGTTTGTCCTTCGTAGTTCGGGCTTTGGGTGTTTTATGACAATCAGTAACCTCTGGGGCAAATACCTTCATGTATAAAACTGTTTGTTTGGTTTGTTGGCCCACTGGTGAGCAAAATAAAATCCACAGTCGGAAACCTCGGTATCACACTTGATTCAAAGCTCATTTTTGAAGCCCATGTCAATAATATTATTAAATCTATAAACTTTCACCTCAGAAATAAAGCCAGGATCAAATACGCTCTGTCATTTCCTGAGCGAGACACCTCGACTGCAATGCACTATTAACATGTATGAGTAGATATCTCTCCAATCCTCCCCTCCCTTCATTGGCTGCTAAAATAACTCTTAAAGCTCAGCACAGTCCGGTCCAAGTTAAATTACAGAGCTACTAACTCCCTCTGCTCCGAACTTTAATCTAAATTCTTCCAACAAACACTTGCTAGCAGTTCTTAAATCAAGGCTGGAAACTAAGGGTGACCAGGCTTCTGCCGTCGGCGCCCCGAGGCTCTGGAATTCCTCGCCTGAGGAGATTCAACTTGCCAAATCTTTAAACTGTTTTTAAATCATTTGCATGGGCAACTGGGCATACTTGTCTTTCTTGAAACATCCATGAGTCATTCATATACTTTTTTGTGCAATTAATCTGCCAAACAATGGTGAATGGAGAACTCTTTAGGCCTTAGAATCACATTCGTTATCTATATTCCCTCCACACCTAAAGGGATTCTCTCTCTTCAGTATTTAAAACATGCTGTTGAAACTACAGTCAGCTGTATTTGCTTGTGTCTGTTGAAACATTCAAGATAACCTGAAGATACCACGACTGAGAATCTTAATAGATACTTTGCTTAGAACATGTGTAGCAAAGACTTTTAATGTATGATTCTTAACTGGTTTTTACAGACTTTGTTTTGTTCTGTGTTGTTTTCATCCCCATGTAT